GAGAGAGAGAGAGAGATGGAGGAGGGAGAGAAGAAGATGAAGCCCTCCTCGCTATCTCACCTGCAGGTAGCTGTCACTGAACTGACTTCGTCCGTTGCTGTGTGCAGGTACCGCGTGGAGCCCAGCTATGGCGCCAGGTAAGCTCGCCGACTGCAGGTATGGCCTCCGCCACTCCCTATCTCCTCTAACCTCTACTCCCTACTCCGCTACCCAGCGCAGCATGGCGCAGCCTCCAACCAGCAGCATGTCGCTCAGAAGTGAGCGACTCGAACTGTCCCTGGCCCAGCCGCTGCCCAGCTATTTGTAGCGCTGGGCGGCCGGGCCTACCTGGTACTGTGTGGCCTAAAACGGCCCAGGTGGTCTGGGTCCCTACCGGACGTCCAGACCTTGCTGCTGCTGCAGCATGGCGCAGAAATGCGCCTGGACTAAAAACGGCCTTCTACCGGTGCACCTGGCCCAAGGTGCTGTCTTGGGTCCTGCAGGACCGAAATGACGCCGGTCTGGCGCCAAAATGCGCCTGGCCTCGTTTCGGGCCTGCCTCCGGTGTACCCAGTCCCAAGGTCCGGCCTTGGGGCTGCAAGTCCGAAACGGCACCTGAACAGACAAAAATAAGACAGCACACACACACCAAAAAAACGGTAAGTAAAACTACAACCTATCTACCTAGTGTGCTGCCTAGGGCCTGGAGGGCCGTCGTGGGCCTCCAGGGCGCGTGCTGGATGGTACGCGGCCTGGGGGCCCCTCAGCAACCGTTGGGCCCCTCCAATGGGGCCCGTGTGCAGGCACAGCATGCAACACTCGCCCACTTCGTCTTCGGGCTCACTGCAGACCACCTCGCACAAGTCGCCGTGGCAGCGCTTCCGCATGGCTCAGGCAGGAATGCATGAATGGCTGGCCGCTGCCCTTTGATTTATACTTCTGTGGCTCGTTGGTCTGGCCCTTTCCCATGCCCGTAGTGCACACAGTCCCATGCGGTACTTGCTTGACTGGACTAGGACTGACTGGGACTGGGACTGCTGACTCAGCACAGGTAGACTCCACCACTTGCCCACTTACCTCAGCCGAAACGTGGGCAACTTCGAAAGGCCACTGCTAGGACCTTCCGGAAGGCCGTGGACTTGGCCTTTCGCTACTGTAGCAGCTACGACCTTGACCCTTCAGGAGTCCTACAGCTACGACTTCTAGAACTCCCCAAGACCTCTACCTGACAGATCTACAGATCGAACCCTTACACCTACAGACCCTACGACAGTTTTCTAACTGCTGCGAACACACACAGGTCACGGGTTCAACTCTAAGGGTCAACACAGATACTGTACACAGGTAAGGTGATGACTAGGGATCGAGCCCTGGGATCTGCATCGGCTACTGCAAACAGGTGAATACTGTTTCACTGCAATTGGACGGCATTATACTATCTGATGAATGTGTATCTCGAAATTGGTCAGGATCATAACACCTCAGCCAAAACGAAATGTCAGCATGCTCTCATCATCCCACATACATCCGATGTCGCCACAGCCTTCCTGCCAGACTCCCTTCTCCCGGGAGTGGCCAACTAAGCCAGCGCCAATGTATCCTTGCAGCGTAGAAGCTTCGCCAGCGCACCAAGTAACAAAGTTGCCAGCGCCGGTAACGGCGATATCAAACCAGCTCTGATACCAACTTCCAAGGAACATGAGCGAGAGCGATAGACAGAAATCCAAATTGCAGTATCATGCTGTAGACCCTATAGTCCTATACCGAGCAGGAAGCACCATGCACTGAGATACAAGCCAGATAAGAGCAATGCAATGAACTCAAATGTCAATGTCAACACTCTCTCGCCACACCAACATAGTGTCCAATGTCGATCTTCTCTATTGGCGCTCAGTGCCCAGCCTATCCTACTCAGCAACTACTCTAGCCTATACCACGTTCGTGCAACAGGAGTCACTTTGAAGTTGAAGGCCAATGTACATGACGTCAATCGCCAATGCAGACTGCCAGCATACACCAGGTACGTGTCTCACTCCCCCCTGTCTTTCCCCACTGCATGCGCCTCCTACACAAAAACCACCATCTTCATCACCGCGCCTGTGCCCCTGTAGCCCGGCTATGGCCGCCGGCGCCCGCTGCCTCAGCAGCTCCCCTCTCACCTCAGCGCCCGTACGTGTGTTGGGCCCGCAGCATAGCGCAGCAGCTCAATGCACTAGTGAAGCCGTGTGGCCGCATAGCCCTGCCAGGCCAGAATGTCCTCCCCCTGGGCGCCCACTTTCCTTTATGGAAAGTGCGCCCGGCTGCTGCCTGCTCTGGGCCTGGCGTGTGGGGGCCCAGTAGATTCAGGTCGGCCCAAAGTGTCTGCGTCCAGGGCCCTTCAGACAGTTGCAAAGGCCCGCAGCTTCCAATGTGACCCGTTCCCAGGCTCCAAGTGTTTGTTGCGATCTCATTGGCTCGTGGCATGCTTGTGACGTCGTAGCTGCATTCTCATTGTTCCACGGCCAGTCCGTGATGTGTCGGCCTCAGGGCGTGTGCGCCCAGGGCCTTAACCAACTGAGCCTGGGCTCAACCACCGGATGTGGGCACAACCACCAGGCAATGTCACCATTATAGCCCTATAAGTGATATAGGACTATATCGCGAGTTGTGTGATATAGGACTACCTCACAAGTTGTGTGATATAGGACTATAGCGCGAATGAGCCAGGGAAGGCTCATGTTGCTCTGTAACCAACTGTCGTCCCGTAACTGTCTGGTGCCCACATTCAGGAAAATTTGGCAGATCTTGGGGCCCCTCGTTGGAGATCAGGCCCACCTTCAGTTAGGGCGGGCAACATGCTTGCTGGGGTCCCCCATGGGCAGCTGGAGGCCGCGGCTTTGCGGCCACATGAGGAGTAAATCCTCACATTTTCTAATGCTGTTGGTTTTCTTTTACGCTAAAATATTACTATTAGTATTTTACTATTTTTTGATAAAAATTTGGCTGTGATAAACCCAATCAGTTTTCCAGTGGGCTGTATCTACTTGTTATCCCAAGAAATTTGGACCATTTCAGACATTTCTCTCTTTACGAGTGTCATCCTTGCACAGGGGCCATGCTAATCTTCTATTGTTCCAATTTCTTTGCTAATGTTAATTCGGTTTGAGTTTCTGTGTGGTTGTTTTGTTGACCCTGCACCGTTAAATCACCAGTACCTCCGAGCCTGTTTTTCCCAAGGCAGATTTGTGCTGCGTGCCAAAGAAAACAAACTGGCACGGCGCAATTTTTTTCTTTTTGGCTGGCATTGCCAGCCAAAAAGATCCAGCAGTCCGAGCCCGAAAAAATCATGGTTGTATATAAACGCATCGGCAAAAAATGGCTGGGAGAGGTACTGGTAGTTAAGAAGGTAAAAAAAAACGGTTGATGGAAAGGCGAAAACATAAGGTTTCATCTTTAGAGTTCAAAACTCTGACTTACCATTCCCAGGGCCATATGCTGTTGTGCTCTATCGGATGTCACAACCCATACCCTTGGGCACCCATCCTCCGTCAATGCTTTAGTCTGTAACATCAATCCAATGTGCACACACACACACACACACACACACACACACACACACACACACACACACACACACACACACACACATGTAAAAGCTAACATTGTTGGTTTGGTCACCTTTTTCCATGCCACTTTCTTTTCGCACGATCATCATGGTCATCCTCTTCGTTGCCAAACAAAGACTCCTGTCATCACCGTCACCATCACCATCACCATCACCATCACCATCACCATCACCATCACCATCACCATCATCATCACCATCAACATCCTCCTTGTCCTCCTCATCCCGTAATCGTCCTCGTTGTTGTCATTGTAGATGTCACCGTCCTCCTCCTCCTCCTCCTCCTCCTCCTCCTCCTCCTCCTGTCATCGTCGTCCTCGTTGTCATTGTCGTCATCCGCATCCTTCTCACCCTCCTCATCCTCCTCATCCTCCTCATCCTCCTCATCCTCCTCATCCTCCTTGACATTGTCGCTGCCCTCATCCTCCTAATCATCCTCATTGTTGCCGCCCTCATCCACATCGTTGCTGCCCTCATCCTCATTGTCGTCATTGTCCTCCTCCTCCTCATCATCACTGTCGTTGTCAACTTGTCGCCGTCCTCCTCATCCTCCTCCTCATCATCTTGTCCTCTGCATCGCTGTCATCTTCCTCCTCCTCCTCCTCATTCTCCTGCTCATCCTCCACCGCATCATCACCATCACCATCACCATCGTCCTCATCACCATTGTTTTCATCATCCACATAATCATTATTATTATCAAAGGCTCACCATCGTCGTCATTATTATCATCATCAACATAATCATCATAACCATCCTCATGATCACGATCGCCATCGTCAATGTCTTGGTTGCAAGTGTAGAGTTCGTAGTTATATTGTTCATGTGTCATTGGCACAACCATGCTTTTGTTTGCAAGGCAGTCATTGTCATCGTCATGGTTATGCTTTTTGTTGAGACACCACACGGTCGCTGAAACACCATATGATCACGTTTGCCACCATCACACAGAGCATATGAAGGTTTCCATGATCAGTCATGTCGTTGTCGCGAAAAAAATCTCATCATTGTCAGCAACAAAATGTTTCATCATCTCCATAGTCACACTTTTCATCACACACAAAGATTTCATTGTCATTGCACACGTCCGTCAACATCACACCACATTCATGATGGTCATGCTTTTGAATTTTCCTCCACCTCCTTCTCCTCCTCCTCTTCCTCCTCCTCCTCTTCCCCCTCTTCCTCTCCTTCCTCCTCTTCTTCCTCTTCCTCCTCTTCCTCCTCTTCCTCCTCTTCCTCCTCTTCCTCCGTATGGTCTCTTCTATTGCTCACCTCTTCCATTATTCTTCCTCCTACCTTCTATCTGCTTCCTTCTCCACTTCAGCTGCTCATTCTTCCTCCGTCGCCGCCATCCTATTTCCATCCATACTTTTTCCTCCTCCTCCTCTGTTATTCTGCAGTTATTCTATTTTGTCTACATCTCATCATCTGATCGTCTGATCACAGTCTCGGCTATACTTTTCAGTATTTGCACTTCTCAGCGATCTTATCCTGCTCTTTCTAATCCCTACCTGCCCATCTGCACCTGATCCGCTACGTCAATAATACTCGTACCCTTGGAGGCCAGCAGAGGCCTCGCCTGAACTGATGGTTTAACCATGCTGCAGTCTAACTGCGTTACTCGGTCAAGAACTTCCAACATCAACAGTTGAACACTGAGCTCCACTGGTGACATACTGGCTTGCACCGTACGTAGGCAGAACTGATGGGAACCCAGAGAGCAAGTACCCTCTCTCTTCCTCTCATCTGTCTGTCAGTGGAATTGCTTTCCTCCCTTTCTTTCCTTTCTACCTTTTATTTCTGACATATTCTGCTCCTCACTTTCTCTCCTTTGTTATGTTCTTCTGCAGCATGCCTCCCACCTATTAGTCCTGTTTTCTTCCATCCCTCCCTCCTTCCCCGCCTCCCAAGTTTCACATGCCCTGCTCTTCCTCATGTCCTCATCCTATTCCTCTTTGTATTCACCATCATTATTCTTTTCCTTCTCTCGCCCTCCTCCTTTCTCTTTTTTTTCTAACCAAAAATGCCAAACCCAAAATTTCGTCATTGCTGAAAACTGCTTCAGCATCCCGTACATGAACACCCACTCCATGCTTTCCTCCATTATGGCCAAGGAACTCTGAGACAGCAGCATTGATTACTTCCCCCATTTCTCCTGCCTCTTTCTCCTCCTTCTCCTCCTCTTCCTCCTGAACAACTATGGCAAACCATGGGATGTGGCTTCTCCAATCCCCACCATCCTCCTCGTCTTATCATTCCTCTTCTCTCTCATTGTGATGCTCCTTCCCCACCATCCTCCTCGTCTTATCATTCCTCTTCTCTCTCATTGTGATGCTCCTTCCCTTCCTTTCATGTTTCTCCTCTCCCATAGTTGCAATGTCCCGGGGCTATAACCCTCCATCCCTCCCTCCTCCTTGACCTTTGGAAAGTTGATATGCTCTCCTCCTCCTCCTCCTCCTCCTCCAACCCCAACCACACCCCCCTCCTCCCCCTCCCTCTCCCGTCCTCTTTTCCACTGTTCTGTTCTGGAATCCAACCCTCTTCCTACTCCCTCGCATTCTTGCACTACCACAGAGAAAGATCCGGTGCTTGGATCCTATCTTGTGCCTACCGTTCTCCCTGTCTGGTCTCCACTATTTCTCCCGCTTCCTTTGCCTCCACCCTCCGCCCTCCTGCTCCTCTTGTCCCCCCCTCCTTCCCCAATGCACATAAGCAATTGGAAATAGATGAATGACACCAACTGATGCGCACAACCAGCTGTTGTGCAATTGAGGCAAGGACTAAAACAGTCAAAAGCCCGATTGAAAAAATGAAAAAAAAAACCACAGTGGTGGCAGAGCCTGCCACCACCCTCGTCATACCAACAGTGAACAGTGTTGAATTGTATACAAACACGATCAGCTTGCAAGCGATAACTAGGAAAAATGTCATGGCAATCGATAGCATGAGTTTTGCAGAAAATGCTTACCCATCGTACCAGCACACTTTGCGATCCTGTCCCTCAGATATTTTCTTCTCAAACCGTTCTGATACAGCCTTTTTTTTCCATGTTCATTCAGGACACAACTCAGAGACCAGCCTGGTCCTGAACCTGTTCCGCAGTATATGCAATGGTCACACACCCTGTGTGACATTTTGGGCTGTACTCTGGTTCAAACCATTGGATGTGAGTTTGGCATTGAGTCTGCCGGTTGTACTCTTCACAGAGCATCTGGTCCTCTGAGCAATTGCAGAGTCAGAGTCTGTGCGCATTCCCTTTCCCTCCCTCTCCCTCTTCCTCCTTCGCCACAGCCCGTGCTTGTTACAGAGCATAAAGAAGAGTGGAGCATGGTGTTAGGAGGGAGCCAAAGTACTTGCCTCTGTTTCTATCCAAGTGTCGGCACATGATTCTGCAGAATATATGATATCTACACTGGATGAATATTAAATACCCACACACAAAAGACAAACACAGCAGCAAAAGAAGAAAAAATCCAATCAGACTCGTTATCTTTCACACTTTACATGCATGCAAAGTTGCAAACAGGTGCGCAGCAAACTGGCGACAAGCGCCCACTCGAAACTCAGAGATATGGTAGCCGAGAACACAGTTCCGATACAAGTTCACTTCAATGGCTATGGCGGCACAGCGCCCATACAACTCTCTGTTCGCACACACAGGATCACCCTGGATATCCCACACGCGACACTCCACACACGCATACACACTCACACACTGAACTCTATCTACAGCTATGGCGGCTATGCCTGCTGCTAACCTATCGCTATGGCTAAGCTCCTTCCCTCTCGCCCACTTCGTCTTCGGGTTCATTGCAGACCACCTAGCACAAGTCGCTGTGGCAGCGCTTCCGCATGGCTCACACAGGAATGAATGAATGGCTGGGCACTGCCTCTTGATTTATACTTCTGTATCTCGTTGGTCTGCCCCTTTCCCTTGCCCGTGGTGCACACTGTCCCATGCGGTAGTTGCTTGACTGGACTAGGACTGACTGGGACCGGTACTGCTGACTGCATGGGTTTGCACTGCCAACTCGATGCAGTCGCACTGTCGACGTACTGCAGTCGGGCACACCACTTGCCCACTTGCCTCTGTCTAAAYGTGAGCAAGTTCGAAAGGCCACTACTGGGACCTTCCGGAAGGCCRTGGACTTGGCCTTTCGATACTGTAGCAGCTACGACCTTGACCCTTCTGGACTGTAGCAGCTACGACTTCTAGACCTGACTAAGACTCCTATCCGACAGGTCTTCAGATCGAACCCCTACTACCTACGGACCCTACGACAGTCTACCAACTGTTACAGATACACAGGTCACGGGTTCAACTCTCGGGGTCGACACAGATACTGTACACAGGTAAGGTGAGGACTAGGGATCGAGCCCTGGGATTTGCATCAGCTACTGCGAACACAGGTGAATACCGTTTCACTCCCGCCGGCCTAAATTCGAGGTCCTCTAAGAATAACTCAGTCCAAGGCAGGACCTTTTCCCTTCTTATCTCTCTCATAGGCTCTACCTATGTCGGAAGCTGATCTCCTAGATGGAAACTGTTGACTCGTGACACACGGCAGCAACTTTGATGCATGAAATAAAGGTTAGGTGTGGAGGTGTGCTGAGATCTCTATGGTGTAGGACGGTCCATCCTCTCCGCCCTTAACTTCTAGAAAACTGGCCACGGTCCTCTATACGCAGGCAGTAACTTCTGCGAGATGTTTTCCTCAGGAGCAAACTCTTTGGACTTCACCCAGACCAAGTCGCCTACTTCGAACTGTGACGGGCGACGGTGCTTATTAGCCTGTTCTATCATCCGATGCTGGGCCTTCCTGAGGTTCTCAACAACTGTAGTTCTCTCTCGTGCTGTATCGCAAACTCCCTGGTACCAGGCGGTAGCCTATAAATCTGATCCCGGTTAAGTCCCTCAAACGGTCTGCGCAGTCTAAAGGACTTGTGCAACTCATTGGGAGTGCGACAGGTGGACAAGTGCACACTGTTATTGTACGCACTGGCTACCTTGGGTAACATCTCGTCCCAGTTGATCTGGTCGGGTCTAATGTACATATGCAGAACTTGCTGCAGGATCTTGTTCATCTGCTCAGTCTGACCATTAGTCTCTGGATGACGGCCAGACGACATCAACAATTTGGATCCATAGACTTTCATCAGTTCCTGCCAGTTCTGGTTAGTGAAGCGACTATCTCTATCGCTAACTATAGACAACGGGACACCATGCTCACTAACCCAGAAATCAAAAACTTCTGAATTCAGTACGGGCCTCTATAGGCAAAGGAACAAAGACAACATACTTGCTAAATCTATCGACTATGACCATGACTTGGCTCTTGTCGTGCCTACTCTTGACTTGAGTATCCATAAAGTCAATGGACACAGAGTCTCCGGGCTGGTCAGGAATAGGCAAGGGTCTGAGAAGACCTAGAGGGCCACGCGTAGTGCTCTTGGCAGACTTCACAACTGCGGACATACTCTATGCAGTCGTTCTTCATTCCTGGCCATGTATACGCGTGCATCAGATTGGCTAGAGTCTTTTGCCAACCGAAGTGTCCCTCTGTGTCGTGGCATTCCCCTAGGATCAAACTACGGATCTCCTCGCTGTTAGGAACGCACAGACGGTCCACTACAGTGGTCTTCTCAAATAACAACCCCTCTGTAGTGCGGTAATCTGGTTCGGTCTCTGGGGCCTCCTTGACTCTCTTGAGGAGGTCGCTATAGATATTGTCCTGCGCATACGCTTGTCTAACTTTCTCCTGCAGGTCACTCCCTATGTCCAGATAGTGAACTTTAGCTCCAAAGTAGTCTGATCTCCTACTTAGAGCGTCCGCCACTACATTGTATTTGCCTTTAACAGGCTTGAGCTCAAAGTCGTACTGGTCTATCTCAGCGGCCCGCCTGGTCAACTTAGGTATCATCTTGGCCTGTGTCTTCAGCCATCTAAGTGTCTCATGGTCTGAATACTCCTTGAAGTGCCTCCCAAGCAGGTAATGCTTCCAGTGCTCTAAGGCCTGCTTGAGAGCGTAGAGTTTTCTCTCATACGTCGGGGTAGCAACCTTCTCTGAGGGCATCCTCACTGACATGAACTCTACGGGTCTGTAGCCATTGTCGTCATCCTGCTGTAACACGGCGCCTATCCCATATTGACTCGCATCCGTGGTGACGACAAATGGCAGAGACGGATCTGCTACTTTGAGGACAAGGTACTCTATCAACGTGCGCTTTAACTTCTTTAGCACAGACGTGCAGTCTCTATCCCACTGCCAGATTGCCTCTTTCTTGAGCAACCTACAAAGGGGAGCGGCGATAGTCGAGAAGTTCCTCACAAACTTCCTATAGTAGTTAGCCAGACCTAAGAACGACCGCAACTCAGTCAATGTGCGGGGTGTCGGCCAATCTCTAATCGTCGCTATCTTATTGTTCTCAGGCTTAATGCCATCTCCGTCTAACACGTGGCCCAAGTACAGGACTTGTGTCTTGGCCCACTCGCACTTCTTTGCGTTGATCTTGCAGTTAGCCTCTCTCAACTTCTCCAAGACCTGCCTCAAATGACCGTGGTGCTCGTGGAGGGTCCTACTGGACACTAAGATATCGTGTAAGTAAACTACGACGAATCTATCTAACCAAGGCCTAAACAAATCATTCATACATCGTTGGAATGTAGCTGGCGCATTGGTCAGTCCAAAGGGCATCACCATGAACTCGTAATGCATATATCTAGTCCGGAACGCAGTCTTGTACTGGTCGTCAGGATGGACCTCTATCTGATGATACCCGGACTTTAAGTCTATCTTCGAAAAATATCTGCACCCCTGCACCCGATCTAAAAGATCGTCTATCCTGGGCAGTGGCTCAGCGTTCTTTACTGTGATCGCATTCAAACCCCTATAGTCTATACATATTCGCAACTCTCCTTCCTTCTTGGGGACAAACAAAACTGGTGCTCCAAAAGGAGACGAACTGGGCCTAATCCAACCTTTCTCAAGGAGCTCATCCAACTGCTTGCGCAGCTCCTCTAACTCTCTAGGGGACATCCTGTGGACTGCTCCCTTAGGAGTTCTACTGCCAGGCTCTATCTCTATTATGTGTTGGATCGACCGCAGCACCACCCCTGTCGGTGGCTCTGTCAGATCTTTAAACTCTTCCAGCAGCTTGGCAATGGCTGGATCCATGGAACTATCCTCTTCTTTAGGCTCAGTGACAGGTCTGACATAAACTACGAAGACCTGATCCTCTAACTGCTCCTTTCTCACTAGTCGCGCAAACGCGAGAGCACTGAGACAGCAATGTGCCAGCGAGTTATCTACTCCTGACACGTGGAACAGACGGGCTGTCTTAACCTCGCTTGTCGGACTAGGGAGCCTACACTCATGTTCTCTCAAATGAAGTGTGGCCCCTGCTGCCTCTCCCCAGTCCATACCTAGGACTATGTCGAAAGGAAGGTCATCCTGTACTTGGAGAGTCAGGGAATGGAGAACTTTCTCCACCTTCCCATCTTTCTCTAGGCGGAAATACGCTTGGACTCCCTCTACGTAGTCCTCAACACGCATAGTGCGGTTGTCTGCGAGGGCACTAACTATGGGGTCTTCCAACTTCTGGACTTTAACCCTAGCCTTAGCTTCTTCAACGCTCTACGGCTAATGTATTTGCGGGTGGCCCCTGAGTCTATAAGGACCCTTACTCTACTTCTAAAAACTTCTACGTCAACTAACACTAGCTGCCCTTTACTATCTTTCTTCATTTTGGCCCAGGCTGGCATCCTCTCCTTCAACTCTTCAGCCACGCCTGTGAGGGAAGTGCCTAGAGAGACGCTAACACAAGCAGTCTCTGGACAGCTGACTAGGCACGGGCCTGCAACCTCTGCCGAAGGCTCATGTGGTGTGGGAGTTTCCTGTATGCGCGCGCTCGCTTCCCCACATGGCCTAATAGTAGGGGCAGTTGCAACCCCTACCGGCGGCTGCCTTTTGACTCATGGGCAGCCCATCGGGCCTGTCTATACTTAGGACAATATTTTATAATGCGGGCAGGGTCACGACAGTAAATGCACTGCCCCTGCTCCGTACGTTGCTGCCACACTTTCTGGTCCAGACCCAAATCTTCCCAAGGTCGGCCTTGTGGCCAGCCTGGGTGCCAACCTCCTTGCCTTTGAGGTGACCTTCCACCTCTTCGTTGGGGGGACCGACTGGGACCCTGACGATTTGGCGGGGGACCTTGACCCCTGCCTCCCACTTGACGGTTCCCTTGACCGCCAACCCCCTGTGCGCCCGGTCCTCGTCCTCCCGTGGCCTGGCCCCTTTGGCCCTGGCCTCCTCCTCTACTTTGCGGCCTCCCTCCAGCCGCAACAGCAACATAGGACCTCCCCTGCCCTACACTATTGTCCCCCTCCTCGAGCCCCCACTCTATCTGACTGTAGGGGACTTCGTCAGTACCACCCTCGTCTAACGTAAGGATCAGGTGATCCTTGGCCCTAACTTGGCCAGAGATGGTACGACCTTTCCACTTCTTTCCCTTATCTAAGTCTTTATGCCAGAAAGTGGAAACTGGCATAGACTTCACCTCGAACAAGACCACTTCCCTACTCAATGCATCATACGTTATGTTCGCCTGTTGAGTCTTGTCAAAGAAATGCCCTCGCAAGGGCTCTGGCATGGCACGATAGAACAATTGGACCAGCTGGGTCTCAGTGACCCCGTGGTTTGGGACGGCTACTAAGTCGTCCATGACAGCTTTGAGTGCTCTCGCACTCCTCCATTGTCGCGAGTGGATAGTTTGGAGTTTGTCAGAGGCCCTGACGCCTCTTGTGGCGTAAGCGAACCTCTCACGCAGAAGTTTGAGGAACGTGGAGAGAGGGGTGACCCTAGAATAAACAATCATATTATGCTCGCAATCAGCAGCGCGCGCAAGGGACCTGGCGTAGCTGGCTGCTTCGTCCTTCAACGCGTGGAAGGCTACAAGGACTTGTTCCTCTGGGGCAATATGCTGTAAATAAGTATTAACGCTAGCCTCCCAGTTATCAAAACTATCGTCCTTCTTCCCGCTATAGGCGTCAGGAAATTTGAGCTTCACGGGCTCTTTGCGGGAACGCGCTGCGGCCTCTGCTGTGGCCACCACTTTGGCGCTTTCAATGGCGCCTGCGCAGAACTTGTCTACGCCTTCCTTCAATCTTTTGACCTCGGTCCCGATGTGGGTCACCACGTCACGCGCAAACTCTCTAAACCCAGACTGGATGGCATGAAGGGTCACATCTTGACCCTTATTAGCCTGATGCTCCTCGAGCCAGGCCTCACTCAGAACCTCCAAGTAACCCAAAATCTTATCTAACTTCGCAGGGGTTTCGGCCTGTGCCTGAACTTCCTGCCTGCATGCCCGGACTCTCTCCACCTCTCTAGCCACCCGGTTGGTTTTCTCCCTCCTTCTCTTCTTCTCCCTCATCATACGTAACTTCCACTCCAACTTCTTTTTGTCCTCTGTTGTCTGGCGTTCTAAGGGATCCTCTATCGCTTCCAATTCCCTGGCGAACACTTCTCTCTCCTCCTGCGGCACGTACAACAGTGCCTCCTCATCCTCCCCCAATGATAAATTAGCCACCCACTCGCTAATCTTTTTCTTCATCCAGGCGTTCTCTCCCTTCGTGCCACTTGTTTCTCCTCTATCTTCCCCACACCTCCTTTCAAGGGGTTCTTCTTCTACCTCCTCCTCTTCTGCTGCTTCCTCTTCAGCAGCCTTCCTCTTCTCTTCCTCCTCCTTCTGTAACTTCAACATCTTCTCCTTCTGTAGTCTCATCATCTCCTCTTTTATCTTCTTCTTCTTTGCCGCCTGCTCCTCCGCTATCGCCTTTAACTTCGCCTGCTTGAGGAGCTCCTTCTTTTCCTTCTTCTCCCTTCTCTCTTTCAAAATGGCAGCGAATTGCTCTTCCTGAGCCTGCATGTAGGGGGCAGTACTCTTCCCACTACGGGTGTCAACCATGGTGTCCGGTGCACAACTGGAAACAATTCCACTCCTCACCACTTAGAGTCTACCCCCCCGATTGACAAACCTACTGACTCGATCTAAAGACTTACAGAATCTGGACAAGATCCTGTCAACTAGGGTCTCTAGCCTGGACCTACTCTAAGGCTGTCACTACAGGACCTGCTGCTGATCAGGAGGCATTTAAGGAGATCCCCCGTAACTCCTCAGGAATTATTTAACATCGCAGACAGGACGACGCGATCAGCAGGTCCTCTCAAGACTTAGACGGCCTGTTGTGCAGCCCGCAACTCGGATTTTGGGCCTACCGTGCCACACCAAGCAGCCCGCCGGTCAGTACCGGTCCTTGGGAGGGTTCGTGTCCTCCGGGACAGTCGAGTCGTCAGACACAGTCTTTAGCCCTACTCAGCCCGTGTGGGTTTGGTCAACAAGGCCCTATCCTTCATCCACAGAGTTCCTATCACCTGGACAGAAGAGACTCAATGCAGAAAGAAGAGACAGACAGACTTGACTCAACAAGGCCCTATCCATAGGGCGAGGGGGATAGGCTGAAGGCTTGGCGAGATTATACCGGCTCCAGCTTGGTCAAAGTCGTGGTCAACGGTCTTGGTCAACGCTTGGTCAACGCTGCAGTCAAACCCCGGTCAACTCCCAGTCAACGCCTATCAACCCCGGTCAACTCCCGGTCAACATCCGGTCAATGCCCGGTCAACTCTCCCGGTCAACACCCAGTCAGCTATGGCTGCCGGCTTCTTCTTCCTTACCACCCTTCCCTTCCTTTCTCCTTCCTCGCCTCCTTTCTCTTCACCCCGACTGTCTTCTTTCTTTTTTTTTTTTCTTTTTTTTCTCGTCTCTCCCTTCTTCTTGCTCCACTTCACTTCTCTCTTCGTTCTCTCCCTCTGTCCTATCTTTCACCTCCTTCGTTCTCTGTGGTGGAGCTCCGCGGTTATGGTCGCCTCTTCACTTCGTGGGACTGCACCGCACACTTCACAGGTACGTGACAACCAAACTTGTATCGCTCATCTCTCTCTCTCTCTCTCTCTCTCTCTCTCTCTCTCTCTCTCTCTCTCTCT